ATTGTGCTCGAGAAACGGGAGTCCAAGTATTACAGGAGCGCAAAGGCCTGGCGCAATGATGGCCTTGACTTTGCGCAAGGTCCATTGACAGTCTAAGGAAGTGAAGGAAATTTTGACGTATTCTGACAGTTCGCATCTAATTTTTGCGTCATCGTTCCTCAAGGCGACATCTACGATTTCTGGTTCACGGAGGCGATATTTCTTTAATCCGAGTTCAGCAACAAGTTCCGGGCGTATGAGGACGAGGTGTGCTCCGTTATCTATAAGGGCTTTGACTTTCACTGGAAAATCGTTGATCAGCCCGTGAATTTGACAGTTCCAGAATAAGTGCTTAACGCGCAGCGGAGCACTCACATCACGACAGGAGACGTCAGCATTCTCTTCAGAATCCGAATTGTACGTTCCCGGTGATTTAGGAAGGACGGCGGCAGCAGCGGAAACTTCTTCGTCACTCGAGTCGACGGCGGCAATGGTGGCAGAGACTGCTTTCGTCGATTTGGATGAAGTTGCTTTCGATTTCTTTGCAGCTAATGCATCCCCCACAGTCAGAGTTTTGTAACCCTTTGCTGTGGGGAAACCCAAATCGCAATTGTCTCATTGAGGAGAGCTCGCTCACCCTCAGTGAGGGGGGCCAGACGGTTGTTACTAGTAGTCGACGTAGAAGAGGAAGAGGCAGTGTTGGCACGACGGGAGGGCCCACGAAGCGAGTTGGCATCTGTAGCTTGACGTTTCGCCTGGCGCTGGAGCGCACCTTCGATAAGATCGAGTTGGCGTTTGTTCTCGGTAGTACGAGATTCGTCGAGGACACGTACAGCGGCGACCCAAGATTTGAAGGTCTTGTCGTTACGAGCGTCGCTGTGTTTGACCTTTTCCTTGAGCTCGTCGTCTAGGTGTGCTTCAAGGTGGTTCCGGAGAGCGGCATCGTCAAGGGCAGAGGGGGTGTTGCGAAGGAGACAGTTTAAGCTAAGAAGTTGCTGTGACCAATTCCAGAATGATTTACGTGAATTTGCGAGTGTAGACGTAAGGATTTCGTTCCGGATCTGGTCTTCCCAGTCATTCTGAAGATAGTTGAGACGAAGTTCTTTGATAAATTCGGCAAACGGAAGGGCGGAAATGCGTGCACGGTCGGCTGTGATCCAATCACGAATACGAATGTCCTTGATGCCAGGAAGGATGAGCGCGACCTGTTTCTCGGAAGGGACAGATTTGGCCACGAAGAAATCCTGGGCAGCATTTTCGAAGTCCATAGCTACTGCTGGAGTCAAATCTCCAGCGGTGAGGACAGGCGCTTTGCCGCTCGTGGGCTCGACAGTTGCAAGAGTGGACATTGAATTCGTAGGAGGATGTATGTGGTGGCTGTCGTCTGAGGAGTCCGATGAAAGTACAAAGGACAAAGGAGGGCTCGAGAGAGGGCTCGAGTGAGGATTCGTGTTTACAGAAAGTCGACGGTTGTTACGTGGATGCGAAGTAACTGTGAGTCCTTCAAGAATTGGTAGTTGTTGCGTTAAGGCAGAGGCGCGTGTAAAACGAGGGTTTTCCAGCGTTGGTACGCGGGCGGTCGGTGGCGTGGATACGCGGACAGTTGGCAAGGGCGATTTGGAATATATGCGCGTGTATGCGCCGGTAACGGTGAGGTGGTTGGAGAGGGCGTATAGGTGTCTTCGCCTTAACGTTCTTGACGTTCCAGGTTTATAAAGTTCTATGTTGCGTCGTCAATTTACATAATCTGAGCTACTCTGATATTCCAGCTGCTTTCAACTTA